AAATGAACTTCGTATTATCAGCTGTTCAGGAATATCTGAAAATCAACAAACTCAAATTGAACGTGTCTAAAACTGAAGCTATGATATTTACAACTTAATATAAACACAAGTATTTAAACTTTGATGATATAAATTCGATGATGAGCAATGAAAGAATCGAAATAATCAAAACAATAAAGTATTTGGGCTTCCAGCTAGAAAATACCTTATCATTTGAAGATCATTTTGAATACATAAAGAATAAAATATCTAAAAAACTTTAGTTCTTTTCAAGAATTGCAAACAATATATCAATGGAATCCAAAATCACTGTCTATAAGACCATTATTCAACCGCATTTTGACTACTGTGCAACAATTTTATATACATTTAACCTCAACAAACCATCCCAGCTTCAAAAGCTCTAAAATCGTGGAATGCGTATCATAATGAAGTCAAACCGTTAGATGTTATGCTGGATACACTTCAATGGCTCACAGTTTCCCAAAGATTATATTATCTCAGTATGGTTTTTATAGACAATATTTTGAACAATCTGGCCCCTCCGTATTTCAAGAATTACATAGTTTTCAATGCAGAAGTTCACAATTACCTCACGAGGAATAAGAATAATCTGCATATTACAAGAACAAATAATTCTAATACCATGAAGTCATTATTTTTCGAAGGTTTCAATGAATACAACAAATTGCCTACGTCACTGAAAAATAATGAGTCACTGAATATTTTCAAAAGGGATTTGAACCAACTTATAAAAAAGAAATAATTGATCTCTCAATATTTTTCCTGGTGCCCAGTCAATTTATGCCATGAAGTATTATTTTTACAATGAATTGTACTATACAGGATGTTTCAGTATTTTGTAGCAGGACTTTAACAGCTTGAAGTAGACATTTTTTCAAGATGAAAATATCATACAAACATTTATGCGTGGGAGCTTCGTTTCCGATTCACGGGTATCAAAGTTTCTGATTTTTTTTATGTTTTTTGAATTTTCGCATACAATTCTCGGAATAATTGATTGAAATTTGGTACACCTAATACACTTCAAAAATTCAATATTTCAGGCTATTGAGCATATTTGAATACCTACAGGGTGATAGACTTTCAGGGGTCGTACCCAATTTAACCCTGTAGAACTTTTTTTGCGTGCCGTCTCTTCTTTCAATGGGACATAGATTTAGATTGTCCTTTTAATTTGGAAACTTTTTGCCCCCATGTAAATTTTTCGAAAACTGTATGGATCTCGAGATAAATGCCAAAAATAAATTACTTGCAATAAAACCGTTATTTCTCAAACACACTTATTCTACATTTCTTAAACATTTTATTGGAAAATAGAACAAAAAACATCTGAAACTTTGACACCCTGTAAATCGGAAATGAAGCTCCCACGCATGTTTGTATGAGATTTTCATCTCAAAAAAATGTCTTCTTCAAGCTGTTAAAGTCCTGCCACAAAAAACTGAAACACCCTGTATATAGGTACCCATATTTCGAAATAATTTTGATTTTTAACTATTTTTACCTTTTAATATTTGTGATTTCGATATTTTTATATATTATGTTTGTGTTTTAATTGTTGTGAACTAGTATGTAATTTTTTTGTTTAATTTTTTTTGTTGTATATTAGGACATCCTATTTCAAATAAACTACTTCTACTTCTACTTCGTTCATAATTATTTCTGGAGACGATAAACATACACACAATATTGCATTCACGAAACTTTTAGGAAGAGCCATTGTGAACAATGTCAAGTCCAATAATGATATATTCCAATATAAGTTAGTCATTTCTTATTAGTCTCAGTTGGGATCAAATATGAGAAAACCTTCAAAGAAACGAATTCCTTTCACTCGGACATATATAAAAACTGAGTTTACACAGAATATCAGTCTCAAATTCACCATGTTTGCAATGTTTCGATTCCAATAGTCGTAGTTGTTATTTTTCCGTTATCTACCATTCTCATTCAATTCATGAACTGATGTGGTATTGACTTTGAGTTTCTTCCTCTTTGTAACAATATCATTCCACTTTGAGTCTTTGAGGGATTTCCTAGTTTGGAAAAACGCCAGTCAGGCAACCAGCCCCTTCCATTTTATCTGGAATTGAAATTTGTTCTGTAGTGTTTCTTTCCTTCTAGTCAGGTGGCGTTCGTGTCCATCTCGCTGATGCAGAACGTCTCGTAGGTTTCAGATTCTGGGATGTGTTCAGATTGGGTTAGGTTTGCACCAGATGGAGGTCGAAGAACTATCTGGAGACACCTCTGCATTGATAAGAGCTCAAAGTTCGAAACCGGTCTGTAGGTAGTCTAGTGTCCCTTATCAATTTGGGCACAGCTCAGCATTTAGGAAGGAATCACATGCAGCTATATTTATATTTACGAATCATTGCGTAGATATCGAGAAGGTGCTGGTGGCATATAACCAGAAGACTATAGTTGTCTTTTACTGGTTATCTACCATTCTCGTTCATTTCATGAACTGATGTGGTAGTATTTTGAGCTTCTTCTGGTTTTTATTTGCTTCAATTTATCACTATATAACACATCATGATTGCTAAGAAATAATTATACTCTCGATTCTTTCTTGTTTTGTCAACAAACATTCCTCCATATTATGCACCATGTCTATGTTTTCGAAAATGCCAGGAGGAAAAGATACCGATAATCATGTTCCGTCAAAGATTCAAAACGGCGTGATCAAGAGAGATCATGAATCTCCAATTCATTTGTCGATAAATATTTTGCACAGCCTTCTACAAAACTCCAAAATCACAGGAACCTATGCAGAATGAAGTAGTATCTTACAAATTATGGGTTTTGGGTATAGGGAAGTCAATCAAAACAGGGCTCATTTTGGTTAAAGAATGGAATTATATAAAAAAAGTTTTCATTGAAGAAATAATTAAATTTTCAATGTTTTTGAAATTCCACATTTGGAATCACTTTTCAGTGCACCCTGAATATTTCACATTGATTGTGAATATGGTCAGTGATTCGTTCAACATTCAATAATCATGTTTTAGTCACTGTTTATTACTGAGAATTGCGACTCAAATAAGAATAGCCTACTTTTGTTCAATAAGCAGCATATGTCACTTCTTGTGAAGACAAAATGAAAAAACTCGAAACCGGTGAAACATCGTGCGTATTTAGGGAGGATAGGAAGAGGAGGTAGGCGTTGGATTTTTCTTAACTTTTTGAGGTTATAAGTTCTCTATTAGGCATTCCAGAACACGTGACTTTTGACAAATTTCCAATGGCCGCCTGTAGGCACACAAGTATTTTTTGTTGATTTACGTAGCAGCAGTATAATCTTTGGTAGATATATTAGAAAATAATAATGATTGTTTTGAATAAAAGTGGATATTCATTATCCTTGGACCGCTATAACAAAGATATTGCGACACGAAAGTAAGTGTGCCTACAGTCGGCCATATTGATTTAGATGGTTTGACAGCATCTTGGATAGTTCAATAGGAAGGCAAAGCTTCGGAATGAATTTTCTGAGGAAGTATTTTCAAGAAATTTTAATAAGTTGAAAGAAATCCAACTCCTATTTCATTTCCCTATCCTCCCTAGGTACGCAAGATGTTTATCGAACATTATAGGAATTCTCTTCCGTGCGCACCTAGCGATTGGAAAAATTGAGAATTCAACGACGAAAGGATGTGCTGACTGGGCCTGTCGAGTTCGTCTGACTAGTATTGCTAGTGAAGGAATTATAGCAGAGATTCCTGGGGAACATTGTGAATGAAAGAATCAATGGGACAGTGAAAGGTTGCCTACTTTTCTGCGATGTTCTATTGGGATAAGAGAGTTGGTAGGTGTGGCGTTACCCACCAGGCGGATGGCTATTTCCTTGATGTCATCTGAAAGCATCAGCGTTATGTTTGGATGCCGAACCCCATACATGAGATCAGTATTATGAAACTGGCTGTATCTGTGCTTTGTAGATCATGGAGAGCTGTTGAGCTGTCAAGTAGATTTCCGAACGGAACAAGAGTTCGAGATTTGTGAAACAGCTTTCGCGTTGGATCGGACATGATTTTCTTGTGAAAGATTTTTGCTGATGGTAATATCGAGCATATATATAGTGTTATGGATCCAGACATTCTTATATCGGGCATACTGAGTTCTGCTTTTCTAGAAGGAAAACAGGCTTTAGTTTGGAAGGCCTTGAATTCAATGAGGTTGTTGGTTTCCCAGGCTGTAATTTCCGCAAGAACTGCATTGACAACGCATTATGGAGAGTAATATCGTCTGCAAAGCTGTGGATAGGGCAAGTGGTTGCTCCCAATCCATCATTGATATGATGTAGAGACGATAATGGTGCCACAATTGAACCTTGTGGAACACCGAAATTGATGGCAATGGTATCAGACGATACTTCGTCATTATCACATGGAGCAACCCACCTGAAAGACAACTCGATAAAAGATGGCATAGCTGAGGTGGTCATCCGTATGATGGTTGTTTGTGGAGCAGTCAATTAATTTGAACCAGAGTCATATGGAAGGAATTAAAAAAATTCGTGAAATACAGAGTAGAGTGTCTAATCAGAAATAACAGAACCGTCAGCTTCACAATATGAAAAATTTATTTGCTGGATTCTTCATGTCTCCTTCTCTACTACTCCTAATTCTCCATATAGGTATATAGATCGCGTTGACACTCGGAGATATATCCTGTAGCTAACAATAAAACTGATTATTTTATTTGGGCTTCCTCTATTCTAGATATTCAAATATGCGATTGAAGTGAAAATTCGAAAAAGGAATGCTCGGTCAGCATATTTCAATTTTTATCAGCAAATAATTCACTTCCCTCTCATCATGTAGTCTTTGACTATACCCTGTATATTCAGCTCTAATAAGCATATTATGAAACCAACGCCTATTGCACTATAATTGCAACATATTATCATAGATAAGTACCCAGAAGACGTGATAAAAGAATTTTCAATTCTGGGAGGTAGGAGATTATTTGCATACCTCTAGTTGAAATATAAACTTTGCCAGAACCGTACTCACACTTGAATCAAACACATGCCAGTTACAATCCAAATCAATTACCAATCAGTTAACACACTCATGTCCAAACAACGTGATGAAATTAACACAACCGTAAGTTGATATATTCAACGCCAACATGTCACTGACTTGAAATTGTTTTGAACTACTCCACAGACGTTTTTTTATCAATGATTCGAACGATGTTCATAGGATACATAGATCATATCCAAGAACGTGCAATGAATTCACAAATAGGTTTTACTTTGAAGTATTCCATATACAGGATCATTCTATTTCGATTCGATTCGATTCGATACTAACCAGCTAAAAATTTTGTACTATTCACTTGTAGAAAGTCACTTGTCATATGGAATAATAGCATGGGGGGGAACAACAGACACCCATATGCACAGCCTACAAACTGTACAAAAATATATTATAAAAATAATAATGAAAAAATGTCAAACCTACCCAACAGAACAACTATTTCACGAATCAAACTTGTTTGATCTCAAGCAACTATATTTCTATTCAGTTTTAGTTAGACAACATACCCGCAAATCGGAACTGTTTGAGATTACCCATCAATATAAGACAAGATACCGATGTAATTCAGTTTCAGTACCAAAAGCTGAAAAAACGATATTTCAAAGATCTCTTGTATATCTAAGCCCGAAGTTTTATAATCACTTACCAGAGAATTTAAAGTCAATAAGACCAATGAATTTATTCAAAAACAAATTGAAAGCATGGTTGCATACAAACCCTAGAGAATATATACATAATCTGGTTAACCACTAATCATTCATTATAACAATAAGAACAAACTATTTGAGTAGGAACCCCACAGAATCTAGTTGGATGAGCGGTCTCCACGTACAAGTTTTTCTTTTAGAGGAGAACTGCTTGTCTTTCAATATTCTAATTAATTATTATACTATACGCAGATACACTTATATCTATGAATAATTCTCTCTTTCAATTCGAAGTTTTGAATGCACATGCATCTACGAACAAGTCCTAAGACTTTTAGTAGATTATCAATATTTATTCACTGATGTTCAAACCTTGTTGTAGGTAATACTTATTGTATTTGTAATTGTTATACTTATTGAAATTGTATTATATATATACATATATATTGAATAAATATTATTATTATTATTATTATTATTATTATATTATTATTATTCACGTCAAGCTGAGTTGATATGTATATATTCAAACTACTATGACTATATATCGATTATCGATGAAATTTTGTATGCGAGAGTTTGCCTACTTCTTCGTTTCGATACTCTTCGTTCTCTTCGTCTTTCGCTCAAACAGGGAATGGACCTGAACATCGTTATTTCGAGTGAAAAGTAAATTTTTCTCGAATATTTGGAATCCACAATGAATTTCAATGCTCGTTTCAATGTTGAACTAAACTTGAAACATCAAATGTCTAGAGTGGAACTTTTTGAGTTATTCATTGTTTTTCGAAATTCAAGCTAGTCTGACCTAAGATTTTCTGGATCTACTCGAACCAATGGGTACCCAAATTTTCTGAAACTCCATGAGAATACCCAAAAGGGTGCTCAGTAATTGGAATTGAATTCTCCTTCTGTTTAATTGAACTGATATAACGTCGTGCTGCAAAATACAGGGTGAGTCATAACTATTGGGACATGGGCTAAGGGCAGATTGTTTGGACCAAAATATGGCGATTCGACTGAATATGCCTTCATAGAATATTGCTGTGGAAAAAGATACAGGGTGTTGAAGTTGACTTTTTATTTTCGTTTTTTGCCAATAACTCCACTGTTTATTCATCAATTGTTATCAAAATTGGAACAGAGGCACAATTTCATGGAGGGAATATTATTTTATGTACTTTTCTACATTTTGATACAGGGGGCGCCACGTGAATGATTCCTGATGATGAAATCGCCTGGTTACTATTTTTGACGAAACTTTTAGGTGATTTTGATTGGAAAATATGACTTGAACATCATTTCTACGTAATATTGATGCTCTTGTTGGAACACGATATTTTCATCCGTTTTCGAGAAGAATGCTATTGAACAGTTTTAGAGTCTCAGAAGTTAATTACAAATATTATTAGATCATTCATGAAGAGTGTGTTTCGAACTGGTAATGGCATTTCTTGACAGAGAATGGAATTTGGTGCGAGTTTACAGTTAAAATTTTTTCAAGTGAAATGACTCGTCACAATCATTTTATGAATGAAGAAATGCGGGTTGCAGCCAGAAGGTATGAATTGTATTATCTCTGAAATCTAGGCAGAAAGCAACCAAATCACAAAACTTTTTCAAATATATTTCCTTCAGTGAAATTATTAGCAAAAAACCGACGAATAAAGAAGAAAATCTACTTCAACGCCCTGTATCTCTTTTCACAGCAATATTTCATTGAGGCATGTTTGGTCCAATTGCCATATTTTGGTCCAAACAATCCGCTCTTATATAGCCTATGTCCCAACTCCCAATAGTTATGACTCACCCTATATAGCCGGAATTGAAAGTTCAATAACTCACTTTTCAATGTGGAATTTACAATCACCGATGTTCAGCCTAATCTCTGAACAGTTTGTCGTGGTAATGTGGAACTTGAGTGAATCCAGAAAGAATATCTGCAGGGTATGATAATTGAATGAGTGTATGCTTACAATGGGGTAGTCATAAAATCGTTTGAACATTTTCGTTTTTAACCTGTATCCTGATAATTGATGCTTGCCCACGAATCATTTTCGGAATTTTCGAAATCAGAGCTTTGATAATCAAGGAGTATTTTATATGGGGCTGAGTGCCCAAGAGAAAGACTCTCAGCAGACTCAATGAACCGACTCACAACCATTTATGAATGAAAATCTTTGTGATTTGACGAAACTGTTTATTTCCAAACTTGAAGCATGCCTATGCAGAGTGAGATGATCACACAAAAATGAGAAATGTTCCTGATACAAACAGAGGAGGAAAAAAAATGAAAAGGAATAAGTACCACTAGCACTTTCATGGTAGATGAGTGCCAGCAACTATACTGTAAGTTTTTGGTAATACTCTTGGTGCTCTGGTTATTGAAGATAAAGAATCATAGCATGTAAAGGACCCCGTACACGGAAAATGGCTTTCGGCTAATTTTTCTGGAAATTTGATATGTTTCAGATATTAGCGTCCTTATTACACAGTGCAATTCACAGATCTATCCTATAACCAGTTTTCGAGCTACATGGTGTCAATCGTTTGATTCTGGCTGTAGAATATTTTGCATGGATTTGAACTATGTGCTCGTGTCGTGATGAATCTCCAGTAGAAATGAACGCTCCACGTCTAATTTCTACCTTATGAATCCCTCTATCCGAATAAATAATTATATAACATACAGGGTATTGCATTCCATCATGACAAGATGATATTCATAGAAATAGACAAATATTGAAAATATCAGAATTTCGATTTTTACTCAATCATTGTAAACTTGAAATCAAACCGCTAGAATCGGCCAATTATTTGAATTTTTAGAATTTTCAGAAAAATTAGCCGAAAGCCATTTTCCGTACTAAATGTGCGGGGTCCAATAAAGCTCCTTAGCTGCAATTATAGTTCGAGGGTTGTTCATGTTCAACTATTTGTACATATTCCATTCGATCTTCAGATATATTTCCCTTGAGTTCCTTTTCATCATAGTATTATTATCGTTCTATATATTCATATCATTATTGATGGTTATGCCCAGAGGAAACGAACAAACAAAATGCTTCCGAGAAAACAATTACTGCGGGTAGTCTTCAATCTATGACACTGCGAAATGGATCATGCTGGAAACAACGTTTAATTTATTTGCCATACAAAATAATAGTGATGGCGCTTTGCCCCTTCAATAGGAAACGACGCATGGGATTTACACAGGTGCACCATCTGTGTAGCCGATTACGGGAGGAAACTTTCGTTTAGTATACAACACCTTTTTTATGAAATGAAAAGAAGAAAACAATATTTGGTACTCACTCTCTTATTCGAGTCTATTTCTCATTATCATGTTATGATTTTCTCAACGATTATTTGAATAAAATTGGAATTTACATTTTTGTACGAATAATTAACCTTGTATCTTCGATCCAAGAAATAACACAACCTTTTCACACACCATACTACTTTATGATGATGTTACACTCCATTATTTCACTAGTGACACGAAGAAAATCTTGTTTCACCTGAAGGGGAATACGTGATTTCCTATTCGATCATTCAGTATTTCTTGTCTATACGTGCGTCCATAAAGTAACGCATAAATTCATTATTGGCTAAATGAACAATCAAATTAGAAATTCCCGAAACGAGTCGATTTTTGATTTCAATTTACTATTGTTTCAAATCATAATCTAATATACAGGTTGAACCACTTTCGTGTAATGACGTCATCACCATTTTTTTCAAATGGAACCCCCCCTTTTTTTTCAATTTCATAATTGCCCTTGCTGAGCTGATTCCAAAAATGTATAATATGTTGCTTCAAATTGGTACAGGGTGGGCAAAAATGCAAAAAAAAATATGAAAATTGTTTATGGAAAGTAATACGTTACTGAATGTAATAAACAAATTAAATGGAATTATGTACTTATGCAATTAATGTGATACACTTCCAAAAACAAACAAACGAAAATTCGCAATAAATGTTCAAATTGTTCTCCATTGACCGTTAGACAATGACTGAACCGGGCATTACTTCCGTCTCTAACATTCTGCAGCATAGCGGGTGTTATGCTCTGTATTTCTTGTCTGATTCGGTCTTGTAGTTGAGGGATATTTCCAGGTCTGTTTAAGTAGACTTTAGATTTCAAATAACCCCATGAAATGAAGTCTAATGGGCTCAGATCAGGTGATCTAGCAGGCCATTCCACTGGTCCCCTTCTTCCTATCCACCTTTGTGGAAAAGTTGTGTTTAAAAAATCGCGCACAGTTACTGCGAAATGTGGCGGTGCGCCATCCTGTTGAAACCAGATTCTGCGGTCTACATTAGTGGGTATCTGAATATCAGGAAAGAGCTGGATCAGATCAGGAATTAATATATTTTGTAGGAAATCCAGATATAATGCTCCTGTTATGTTTTCATCAAAAAAATATGGACCAATAATTGTATTTCTCACAAT